TGAAGAAGTCTCGGAAAGAGGATCCTTATCTGGCTCTCCTAGCATACAGAAACACTCCTCAGCAGGGTTATAACTACTCCCCAGCACAACGTCTCGTGTCAAGAAGACTCAAGGATATCACCCCCACAGCACTCCATGATTCATCCCACAGACAGCGTCCCCAGGTCTAGTGCATGGAGACATCGCAGAAAGAAGACGAAGATCAATGGCTCAGTACAACAGGAGGATTTCGCAGCCTCGAGAGTTCTCTAAAAGTTCTCTAAAAAACAAGCACCAACCTTGGATATATGGTGAAGTTATTGGAAGCGCTGTACCAAGGTCTTGTACTGTAAACACCTCAAAGGGACCAGTTTGAAGGAATCACACACAGATTAGAGAGGCAAAGACTGAACAAGAGGACCGCTTGGAAACTGTATCCTTGCCTGAAAGTGAGCTTACAGAAACGGATCAACCAGTGGAGCGGGAACCTGCACCCCAAAGTGGCCAAGAGCCTATTTCTACGTTACGCCGTTCAATGAGACAGCGAAGGACTTCCTCAAGATTCAGGGACTTTGTCATGGACTAAGAAAAGAACTGTGTACTGAGTGTACTGTCGACATGGAATTTCTTGAGACATAAACTTTGATGAACAGGTCTGATGGATTTTCTATTTTAACTTAAGCTCTCAAAAGGGGAAAGGTGTTACACTATGTAAATATGTCACACCTTCGCACCAGCACCTATTGCACAGCACGCACGACCACGTAATTAGTACAAAGTACAACCACCACACATTTGTATAAATTAGGCAGTTATTTAAATCAAAACGTTCCGTTTTCCACATCCTAAACCGAGTAAATAACAATACACGAACCATTGTACTTTTAAAAGCCAATATTCATAGTTTTGAACCGTCAGACGTTTAAAATGTCTCCATCGGTGACCACAAATTCAAAGACAGTACCGCTTGAGTTTGAAAACAATATAAATCACAGACGCCTTCTCGAGACTTTCGGAAACAAGAGGGTAATAAATTTCATCGCTTTACATTTGGATGGAATTAGTGGAATTACTTGTTTACAAATGTAAGTCATAGAAGAGGTCATTCAACGATCAGGTGGAATATATTTTTGCCCTTTTGAGTAAGTACGCTTCTTCGCCTTAGTTTGAATATGAACTGTGACCTTTTCTCTTTTTCAAAATTAGATATTCAAAAGTGAAATAAATTACAATATTAGAGTTGATTTGCATTTGTTTACTGTACCTAGAAATCACAATCACATTGTTCGAAAAGTAAGCGTATTATATTTGGAGATTTAGACAATGATTTCTTTGCTATTTTTTTAAATTAACATTGTTGACCATACATTAATGTACATGTGATGTCTCATATCCAACCTACACTCATGAAATAACCATTAATTATTTGCGGACTTCATAAAAAGAGCTAGGCTTTCTTGGGAATCCCCTCAATTTAGAGCTATTGTGGTTATGCTTTGATATGGTGTGAGCTTGCACTTTGTGGTATAAATGAAGCTAAAATATTATTGATTGAATGATTGACTGTTTGATTGATTGATTGATTGATTGATTGATTGTTTGATTGAAAGATACTTACACTCCAGTAACAAATGTTTCATCTCATCAGCTAGCACAAAAAATGGCAAATGCTCCCAATTAACCGATTGCCTACATTTTAAAGGGCTTACTTTGCAGCAGGAAATAATACAATGAATGTATAATACAATAAAACAGTTAATCTTTTGCTGACTTTCACAAATAGCGTGCTAAACCCTTTCGAAAAATTCATGTTTCTTGTGTTTTTTTTAAAGTTTGGTTTGGGATATATTTATCAAGGCCTATTGATCTTTTTAGTGTATTACTCGAAAATTAGAAAATGCATTTACAATACAGCATCATCTCATTTACCATATCATAACTACTAGTACGAGAAAACTAAATAATTGAAAGCCCCATACAAGCACACTTTGTGATTCTCACCAATAACATGATGTTGTGGACATGGCAGGACATTCAAATTAAAAACAGCTGTTAAATACAAACACCAAAGGGGTACAGCTGACTGTCTGTATTATGGAAAGTGCCTGCATTATAGAGTTAGAGATTGTTTGAGTTATGGTTTCTTTGGACCAAGACCAGGTTTGACTGCAGGAACCTGGGGCTGACAGGTGCAGCGAGCATCGTCATGATCACAAGTTACAACTTCAGTAAGAAATGTATTGGGCGCTCCACATGGGTGGTGAACTGGTCAATTTACATTAGAGGTGCTCATAACAAGATCCCAATAGCCTAACAACCTTTTAATGCCTTCCCACTCATCTTTCCCAGCCAAAAAATGCTCTTGCAGCACACCTCCATTGGATATTCCTGAATGTTCAGGTTTACAAGGTCTCGTGGCTTGAAATTTGAAACACATTCATCTTACTTGGACTGAAGCTAAATGTATAGTGGCTGTGGGGTAACTAGGGGTTGGTACATTGCATATTAACTTAGTGATTCAGACCTAATAGATATATCTAATCCTGTTCAGAGTGTTTGCCGTGGGAGTCAAACTTTTTCTTGTGAAAGCACAAGAAAATATTAATGACAGGGGACAGGCAGTTGCAACCCATTACAAGAATGCAATCAAAAAACACACGAAGGTCTACATGTATCAATAGTATTTATTGCAATTAACTACAACAGCGACAATCAAGCCAGCTACGCTGTAGGTAATGGCACTTGAAATTTTTCTATTTTTCTTGCTCACTCTGAAACGTGCACAGAAGAAAACAAATTTAAAGAAAGGAAACACTGTTAAAGATCGCGTTGAAGTTCTGAAAGTTGCAGGCATCAGTACTAAAAACAAAATATAAGTTCAGTTTTGACTCTAAGTTGTTTTCATTGCTGCATGTAATTTGACGAGAAAGTTTGCAAAAAGGCTCCTGACTGTAACACCTCATTTAATAAGCTTATTAGTCTTGATAGATTTTGTGCTCAGAATATTGGGCAAAATGAGAATAATTGCAATTTTTCAGCAGAGCGAGCTAAAACATCAGCAATTTATAATAATACTAAAATCAGACAGCAATATAACGGCTGTGTACCAAAATGAATGGAAGTAGTGCGGGAAATTTTCAATTAACCAAAGAATTGAGGGAAAGCTAAAATCGAC